CATAACTAAGTTGTGCACTTCTCGCTTCAAGAAATCGCTTCTTTTTTGAAGCTCACACTTTAGACAAGATAGAATGACATAAAAAGATTTTTGATTAACACTAAAGTGCCTACATTTATCTTCAATATGACCATATATGAGACATACATGTCATGCATGTAGCTTAGTTTATTATGGTTTGCGTCTATGCGTTACATAATTAATTCTTATTTATTGATCGAAACATGAATGTATCTATTTGTAAATTATTATACCACTACATATTATATAACCATAATTTTGTATAGATTTTAAAATTAGAATGCCTAAATTCATGAAGGATACTGTTACAGGGTTCTCTGTCCACAGTTAACACTATGATAAAGCTGGCACAATTCTGATATCGGATCCTTCCACTCGAACAGGACTATGATTTCCTTTAATCTACGACAAATGGTCCCCAAAAAATGACTGAAATGGCATCACGATGAGAGTTTATCTTCTAGGAGAATGAATTTATTTGTACTGCATCACGTGTCAGGTATTAGTGACCAGGACTTTTTTGTTCACCAACCAAGCACAAATGTACACTTTATAGGAGCTATTGAGGCTCCCTAGCTATTAATCTTGCAAACAAGCAACTCCTCAGGATCCACTGGAATATTAAAAGAAATAGAAATATTCATATTTGGGAATATTCCACACTGTCTCGATTTATAAAGTCAGTAGCAAGCTCGTCTCTAGTTTTCATTAAAGTAATAATGTCCCTTATCAACCAAACATATATGAATTCGATAAGGAAAATAGATCCACATACATATCGAATATGAGTAGGAACTGATAAAACTCCAAATGTACAAATACATCATACAAAAGTTTGGTACATACCTAAGAAGTTGAAGTAAATCTCTGGGTCATGTAAATCAATTTCAAAATCTCGTATTTTAAGGCCAAAATAATGGTAAATTAATTGAACGCGAGAGGGGGTTTGCTGATAATTATCAAATTTGAACGAGGTTTTTCTTAATCTTATGTTAATCTCTATGTAGCAATTGAACGGAGAATCACTTTTGCTAACCACATTAAACAATTCTACAAATCTATTCACATATAATGATCTGTTATGCTAAACATAGTGATAATAGCTTATAAATTATAATTTTTTCCTACACAAATAGCTGGACATCACTTGAAATTTATCCTTAAAGGAAAAGAAAAAAGAAAAAAGATCACGACCTGAAACTGTGTCATATATTACAAAATGTTTGTAGATACCTTTTCAGATCTAATCCAAGAATATATATTTTATTAAAAGGACCTACCCACATCTAATTCAGAGTACAGCAAATTGTGGTTTAATTAAGATAACAGCTTAATTAATTCACAAATGAAGACAATGTACGTCCCTACCGTTCAACAACTAACTTGTACCCATGTACCTCTATTCATTAGGAGAATATACTAATATATATATGGGAAAACAGTAATCAATATTAGAATACTAATATACATACTATTGCTCTAACCAACTGTCAAGCATATATTATAAAATAGGTTATTTATGAGTTGCATTAAAATGGTTTTAAGTCAGTGCCATAAACTATTATCAGGGACATTATTTATAACTGCTACAATAATAGTCGAAAGCATATAAGCCTAAATTGTGAACTCTTTTATAAGATTTTGCTTGTTTTAAGCAGAAGATAAGTGTTTAATAATTTAGTACTCAAACCCATGAAGTTCAATCGCATTCAGATGGAAAAATAAATAAATGTGGAAGGGTAAGCAGGTTTGAAACTCTTAAGGTAAAATGAAAGAGAGTTTATTGCCAAAAAAATAAGGGAAAAATATGTCTAGGCCCTCAAAACGAAAACTTCATGTGACGAGGTCCCTTGTATTCTGTCCCATGTGGATAAGCCCCAAATACACACAGTATTTGTGACGAGGCCCCAAAGTATCGGTTTTCAAAAAAAGCCTAGTGGAAGTTACGAACTTGCCCCTTTGATGAGACAGAACTTGGTTACTGCGCCCCTCCCTATTAAAGTACCACCTTTCTCTCTCTCTCTCTCTCTCTCTCTCTCTCTCTCTCTCTCTCTCTCTCCCCCCCACCGCTTAGGAGCCACCAAAACTCTCGAATTTTCAATTTTCTCGTCAGATTTCAATAGTGCTAGGTTTTTCGTCGGAAAAATATCATCCAGGGAAGCATAATCCGTTAACGACTACGAAGTCGTTCATCGCGGCGAACTGAAGGACAAAGACGGTTCATCGGGGGTTGGCAACGCGGAGGAAGTCACTCAAACCCTTATGAAAATGCAAAGACAGACAGTAGAATGACGAGACCGGAAAAGAAGAACGACAAGGGCTGATAGTAGTTGGGGGTTTGGGGCTTTTTTGATGTTTTTGTTTTTAGTTTATTGGTCTGTATGTAAAAATTGTGGGAGATGTTTAGATGGAAAATTGTGAAAAATTTAGGAGGTGTTAAATTGAAGTTGGTTCTAACAATTATTCCTAGGTGCGTAAATTTCTCAGTAAAAAATTATGCTATGTATAATATTATTATATTTAAAAAAGAAGAAATTATTTCCGTGTTAATTAGTTCAAATGGATATCATGTTAGTTCTAATATATGTGTTAGTTCTAGTGGATTTCGTGTTAGCTCTAATGGATATCATGTTAGTTCTAACATACCGTGGGTTAGAACTAACATAAGACCCCAATAGCCTAGAACTAACATGAATTAGAACTAGAACTAACAAGCGGTGAGTTAGAACTAACATGCCGTGGGTTAGAACTAACATAAGAGCCCAAGAGTCTAGAACTAACATGAATTAGAACTAGAATTAACGTGCGGTGAGTTAGAACTAACATGTTGTGTGTTAGAACTAACATAAGAGCCCAAGAGCCTAGAACTAACATGAATTAGAACTAGAACTAACAAGCGGTGAGTTAGAACTAACATGTCGTGAGTTAGAACTAACATAAGAGCCCAAGAGTCTAAAACTAATATGAATTAGAGCTAGAATTAACATGCGGTGGGTTAGAACTAATATGTCGTGGGTTATAACTAACATAAGAGCCCAAGAGCCTAGAACTAACATGAATTAGAACTAGAACTAACAAGCGGTTAGTTAGAACTAACATGTCGTGTGTTAGAACTAACATAAGAGCCCAAGAGCCTAGAACTAACAGGAATTAGAACTAGAACTAACATGCCGTGTGTTAGAACTAACATAAGAGCCCAATAGCCTAGAACTAACAGGAATTAGAACTAGAACTAACTTGCCGTGGGTTAGAACTAACATAAGAGCTCAACAGCCTAGAACTAACATGAATAGAACTAGAACTAACATGCCGTGTGTTAGAACTAACATAAGAGCCCAAGGCCCAATCAAAGACCTTCAAATATATATTGTAGCTGCAAGGGTTTGAACTCCTAACCTCCTATCCAAATTCCCAAGCTTTACCACTAGACCAAGTAGCCTAAAGTATTTATATTAGTTCTACTTAAAGTTAGCTTTAACATGAATTATAACTAAAATAAAATAAGTTAGAACTAACATGAAATAAGTTAGAACTAACATGAAATAAGTTAGAACTAACATGAGTTATTGCTCATGATAGAGTCTAAAAAAGGCGAAAAATTTCCCTCTATTTTTTCCGTCAGATCGCATTAATGAACACGACTTTCCATGTTTTGGGGGACCAGACGTTTGGGAAAAATAAGTGGATGGGAAATTTTGGGTTTTTTTAAATACAATATTTTTTTTGTATTGCTGACGTGGAGAGGCCTTGAAATATTAAATGATACTTTTTGAGGCTGAATCACATGGGCTAAAATACAAGGGGCCTGGTCACATGAAGTCCCTACTTTTGGGGCCTCAACACAATTTTCCCTAAAAATAATCAAGAAGGAATACTTGACTAGATACATACATACTATTCTATAGTGCTTTCCTTTTCTTTCATGTTGAGTAATTAGTTTTAATTTGCATCGACTATACTCATCTAAATTAACATATAAAGCCTAAAGCAAAAACTGCTCGTCTATAATATTCTAATCTTAGAAATTCTGTTCTTTTCTTTCTCTACGGGGAAAAAAGAAAAAGAAAATTGTAGAAATATCTCTAAATTACAACAATTAATTTCCACTAATTCCCTATCCAAGTCACTTTCTTAGCTGTCTCTATCTCCAAATGTAAAATCACTTTCCCTCTCGAGATACTCCTCTATCACTGCCTTCATAAATATCTAGAAGAATCATAAATGATATTCACAAGAAAGAAGATTTCATTATATTTATTTTTTCTGAAAGAAAGGTAAATGTATATATAGCAGGGGTTTTTCTATAGAGTGCCCATGGGCACTCTATAAGAGAGGAGAGAGATAGAGAGAAGTGAATTGCCCATAAAATTTTATGGGCAATTCACTTCTCTCTATCTCTCCTCTCTTATAGAGTGTTCATGGACACTCCATAGAAAAACCCTATATAACAGATCGATTTCAATTAAATTGCGCGCCGAGCATTACTCCTTATATATAAGAGTTAGCTATAGTGTCCCCTTAAATGGTGACAAATGCTAAACCACGAGTTACAAATGATAGTAAAACCCACTTGCTAAATTAGGTTTCAACAAAACTCTAAAGTAAATATCAACTTTATGGTGAATTCTGTAATTAAACTATAATGAACTAAATTGAACTTTTTACTTAGCTTAATCTAAATGATCTCCAAGAATCCTTATAAGGGGGGAAACCCAAATATATCAGATTAATTAATATCTCGGAAATTTTTTTAGTAACCAGGATAAGTTGTCTAGAGAATTTATTAATTATGAAAGAAACGGATGTATGATATACGCGAATGGAGGAGAGGAATGAGAAGAAGTACATTAGGAAGTAAGAAAAAAGATTAGGGTTGAACTAAAATGAACTCTTTTACTTAGCTTAATCTAAATGATCTCCAACAATCCATAAGGGGGGAAAACCCAAATATGTCAGATTAATTAATGAATATACACCAGTTTTATAACCAAATAAAGTTTGCGTACACAAAGAGGTCAATAATAATCCTAGCAACCTCTAAAGCACCAAACTTACTCAAAATTTAGAAGAACACATCATGATCCTGAACTCAAAGAAACTTATGCATCCATCCCCATCACAATCAAACGCCTCAATCATCCTCTGGCACTGCTTCATCGTCGCCTCCTCACCGAAGTTTATCAGCGTCATCTGCAGCTCCTCGGCCGATATCAGCCCATCGCTGTCGAGGTCAAACACCGAAAACGCCTGCTCCAGTTCAACGGCCACGGTTGCGAGATCAAGCGTGGCAGGATAGTAGTTCAAGAACTCGTTCGAATCTATAAGCCCATCTTTATCCACGTCCATCTCGTTCATGATGATCTCCAGCTCTTCGTCTGAGGTTGGAGATTGGCCTGTTATAATAAGAAAAGAAATTAATCCCCTGTTATTCACCGGCCAGAATAGGAATTTTTTTTTTAATAATAAACACTGTATTAATTTAACGGACCGAGCCTTCGAAGGGCTGACTCAAGCTCTTGAGAGGTGATCTTGCCGTCGCCATCAGTGTCGAACTTGTCGAAGACACGCTTGAGGTCGGAGATGCCGAGGATGGCCCTTTCAGGTGAAGAGGAGCGTGGTACGATTAAGGGAGTGCTTGAGGCTTTCTTGGGCTTTTTGATGCTGTTATTCCTGTATTTGAGGGGGAGAAAGGCTTTGAAGAAATCCATTGGTGAGTACAATCATGGGATATTTAGAGAGAGAGAGAGAGAGAGAGAGAGAGAGAGAGGAGATCCTAAGATGGGAGTTTTGTGAGTGGGTATAAGAAATGAGAGGACAAATTAGTAAGGGGAGTTGACAATTAATTGTGATATTTGATGTTTTTGTACCAGTCGTACCCCAATTAATGAGGAGTCGATGCTCTTGTTTGTTTTATTGTTTAACGTTTTGGTGGCGTGAGGAACGGCAGAAAACAAGGTAGGGTGAGCGCATACATAACACATAATTATGTAGGTCCGGTGGATTGTAAAGAGCTAAAGATCGTTCGAGTCAAGAATAAAGCTTTTGATAAACTCTATTCACTGAATATATGAAGGGCGATTCAGTGCACGAGTTCTTGTGGGTAGCAAAAAATGAGAATTTTGCCATGATATTGTGGGTATACACTAAATGATAGGATAAAAAATAAGTGTATCCGCAGAGGTTGCTCCTATTGAGTATAAATGAGATAGAATTGACTAAGATGGTTTGGTCATGTACAACGGAAATGTCTTATTACACCGGTTGATAAAATGATAATATTATAGTTAATGAGACTAGTAGACCTAAAAGAACTTGGTTAATTAAGAAAGATATGATAATGTTTAACTTAATAGAAGAGATGTCAAATTATAGAGCGAAATGAAAGAATAGAATTTATGTAGCCGACCCTAAACATTTGGGATAAAGGCTTCAGTGATGTCTTTGTTGTTGTTCAGTGCACGAGTTCTAAATATTTTGGACTACGAGGAGGATCAGAAGTATGGGGACTGCGGTGCATGGAGATATCAGATGTGTACAACCTTACCACTGCATAAAGAAATGTTGTTTCCGACTTTTGAATCCATGACTTCCAAGTCACAATTAGGGCTGTCCAAAAAGCCCGCCGGCCCGGACGCGCCTGGAGGCCTGTTCTTGTCGGCCTGGGTTAGCCGAAACCCGGTGCCAGACTGCGGTCCGGGTCCGGGCGCTCGATGGACCGCCGGGCCTGGGCCCGGCCTCGGCTGGAAAGTAACTTTTTTTTTATTTTATTTTAAATTTTTTTATATGTGTAATAATTGATTATATAAATATGTATAATATATGTTTAATATATATATATATATTATATATATATATTATATATATATATATATTATATATATAATATATATATATATTGATAATATATATAGTGCTACTCTCTCTATATAAGTATATATATGTATAAATGTATACTCTCTCTTATATATGTATAACTCTCTCTTTATATAAGATTATATATGTATAAGTATATCTCTTGTATATAATGTATGAGTATACTCTCTTTATATGTTAATATATGTAAATATAATAAATAAATAATAAATAAATATATATTATATATTATATATATTATTATATTATATATATATATATATATATATATATATATATATATATATGTTTATGTATAATACACTTTGTTTATGTAATTTCTATAAGTATTTACAATTTATTTATGTATAATATATTTATATGTGTGTGTGTGTGTATACATATACATATATTGAATTACATGAATGTTTTGGGCTACTTAGTCTAGTGGTAAAATTTAGGAATTTGGAGAGGAGATTAGTGGTTCAAATCCTAGCCATAACATATATATTTATATGTCTTCGATTGGACCTTAGGCTCTTTGAATTCTATAATTATTTTTAATTTTGTTTGTTTCTATATATTCTATAATTATTTTATATCATTTTAATTTGGGAAAAATGTGTCCAGGCCCCAAAAGTGGGAACTTCGTGTGACTAGCCCCCCTGTATTTTGCCCCATGTGGAATAGCCCCAAATACGCATAGTATTTGCGATGAGGCCCTGAATTGACTCTTTTCAGAAAAAGCCCAGCGGAAGTTACTATCTTGCCCTCTGATGGGACTGAGCTGGGTTAATGTGCCCCTCACCTTTACAAGTACTCTCCCTCTCTTTCTCTCTCTTCCACCTAGCACCGTCATCAAGAACTGTTCATCTTCCTAATTTCTGTACGAATTTCAACGTTTCTAGGGTTTTCGCCGAAAAAATATCGTCGTCTACGGAAAAATCCAGTAACGACTACGAGGTCGGGCACCGAGCCGAGTTGGAAGGAAAAGGCGCTTCATCTGCGGGTGGCAGCACGGAGGAAGCTACGGAAGCTACGAAAACCCTAATCGAAATGCAAAAGGAGGCATTACAATGGCGAGACCAGAAAAGGAGGACGACAATGGCTGGTCGTACCAACAAACCCCCCTCAAAAAAACAGTAAGTGTTATGTTATACTGCGAACAGACAATGCAGATTAACCCAATATTGTTAGTTCTAGGCTTATGTTATACTGCGAAGAGACAATGCAGATTAACCCAATATTATTAGTTCTAGGCTTTGTCCAATGTTAGTTCTAAATTTATACCAATGTTAGATCTAGTTTAAGTCCAATGTTAGTTCTAATATGAGTCCAATGTTAGTTCTATAATATTACGTGTTAGCTCTATTTTGTTCCCGTTAGTGCTAGGTCTAATATTGTTTCATATGTCTTATTGAACTTACAAATTCGAAAATTTTTTGCAGGGAAAAAATTGCTCTAACAGGCTCAGCAGAAACACTAAGGTTAACGGCCAATATCGGGGCTTATTGGGCATTTATGAAGCGCCTTGCCCCGAAGATCCGTCAGTGGCATAAGGATGCATACTGCGGTTCTATATTTTAGCACTACATTTTGTTTAGGGCTCCTGCGCCTGATCGGCCCACCCTTGAGCTGCTGCTGAGCTTTTTCGATAGAGATAATAACACCTTTTGTATACCTGATTCAAAAAGTGGGGGTATGAAAAATGTTAGTTTTGATTTGCAATGGGTCCACAACCATACTTATTTCCCAATTTATGGGGAGGACATAAGGAACAATAGGGACTCAAGAAGCAGAATATGGCTGGAATACTTCGCTAAGCTTTTCATTTCTGAAGAGGGTAAGAAGTTAAAAAAATCAGAAACCAGCCAACGTAAACATCTTGAAGGGCTACTTGAACGGCTTGTTGAATCTACCAAAAAGCGGGATATCGAGGATTTTGCTCTGCTACAAATTTTGTACCAATGCTCTATGATATGGAGTCCCATAGCAGGGGAAGGTATCCCTAGACCCTTACTCAGATACCTGGATAGCATTCAGAGGGTCAATTCTGTTGCATGGGCCCCGTTCTTTTATAATGAAATTATCAGGGGCATTGGAGTTGCTTTGGAGGGAAAGAAGAAGCAAAAGGTCGCATATGTCCCAGGTTGCATGACACTATTGTGTGTAAGTTCCATATTTTACTGATCTTGTTTCATTCTAATTCGTACCTATGCATTGTTAGTTCTAACTTATTCTATGTTAGTTCTATTCTGTAGCGTGTTAGTTCTAATCTGCACAGTATTAGTTCCGTTCTGTAGAGTGTTAGTTCTAATTTGCAGATTAGAACTCACACGCTACAGACATATTAGAACTAACACGCTGCAGAATAGAACTAACACTCTACAGAATAGAACTAACACTGTGCAGATTAGAATTAACACCCTACAGAATAGAACTAACACTGTGCAGAATAGAACTAACACTCTACAGAATAGAACTAACACAGTGTTAGTTCTATTCTGTAGAGTGTTAGTTCTAATCTGCACAGTGTTAGTTCTATTATGTAGAGTGTTAGTTCTAATCTGCTCAGTGTTAGTTCTATTCTGTAGAGTGTTAGTTCTATTCTGCAGCGTGTTAGTTCTGTTCTGTTCTGTTCTAATTTACACCATGTTAGTTCTAGATGCAGCCATATTTTATTCTCTTTAGTCTAGTCTAGTATTAAATGTTAATGGTAAATATATTATTTGGTACAGCTTTGGTACTACGAGATGACAGGCATAAAGAAATATGCCCTCTTAGACACCTCCAGACCTCCAATGACAAATTGGGCATCAGGGGAGGAGAGAATCGCATCTATGAGGATGCCGACAATTATTTCAAAGGCTAAGTCAGCGTCAATAACATTTGTCCATAGGCCTATTGCGGAGGTCGCTTCTCCTGGTCATGTTCATTCACTTCCCGCTGAACAGAGGGATGAAGTTCTTCAGCAAAAGCATCAGGCAAAGAGGAAGGCTTTCCAGGAAAAAAACTACTAAGAACTTCTCAATAGGTTACGTAAGTATCCTGTTATGTTAAGTCGTACTCATTTCACACTAACTGCAAAGAATATCCTAATTATGTTTAATCCTACTTAAAATTATAATCTTGTATCAATAACAGATCATGGCAAAGCATATTGACGTTGCTTTTGACGATGAAGAGGAGATCAATGTTCTTCCCATTGAGCAGCAACTCACATTTTGGAGAAATTCTGCTAAATTTCTCAAGCGACTTCTTGATGCTACAAAGCAGACCAAGAGCAAATATTGTAAAGAATTCATGATTGAGATCAACAGGCTTAACAGGATAATTGAAAAATGTGGAAGACATGATGAGGTTATAGACCCGGTGCTGCTTAAGTCAAATATCAAACAGAAAATTGCAAATGAAATTAGGAAGAAGCGACGGCCATCTCAAGAGGAACAGAAGTCCAAATCAAGCAGTGTATATAAGGAAGAGCCCACCATGCAAGAACATGTACATAAGATTGTTGAAGAGGATGTGATGCATCCTGCTGACGATGAGGCAAGTGAAGAGGAGCCTGTTACTTCTCCAGGGGAGGGGGTATATAGTAAGGTTGACCAGACTGTAGATACTAAGGTTGAGGATAGTGTAAATAAGGAAGAGGAGCATATGGAAGATATTGTAGATAATGAAGAGGAGCGTATGGTAGATAAGGAAGAGGAGCATATGGAAGATATTGTAGATAAGGAAGAGGAGCATATGGTAGATAAGGAAGAGGAGCATATGGAAGATATTGTAGATAAGGAAGATGAGCATATGGTAGATAAGGAAGAGGAGCATATGGAAGATATTGTAGATAAGGAAGAGGAGCGTATGGTAGATAAGGAAGAGGAGCATATGGAAAATAAAAATTTTATTATAGATA